TTTTTTAATGTAACAAATAAAAATAAATATTTGTCAAGTTTTTTCTTTCCTTAATAAAATCATATTTTCACCAGAATGCAAGGTTACTAGAAATAAAATTAAAGCAAATGCTATAATAAATAGTAACAATTCAGTTCTGTTTAGAGAAAAAGGTACCTTTAGGCAATAAATACAAAGAATATATTCCTTATCATCTCTCTTTTTCTCTCAAAAGATGTCCAAACATCTGTCCGCTTGACGCACATTGTACCATTGAAAATACCTTAATCAGAATCAGAGTAAATAGCTAGATTTTCCAACAGTTGCTGTTCTTTTTTTATTCGCTTATCAATAACTTTAGCCATACGACTTCTTTTTTTATCGTTTATTGCTATTTCTTTGTTGACCGTTGTTTCTTGCGGAACTTTGTTTATCAGAAGCATGTGACTTGTGATTCTATTTCATAGTTTTGTTGCTCTCATTGAGTAATATGATGTGATCGTTCAGCTGTCTTCTGCTATTTTACTTGTATTCAATGACGATGACAGTTCGTATCGTACTTATGAAACCATAAGAAATACACCTAAGATGATTAGCAATACTTTTGATTGTCTACAGAACCATTATTATTATCCCAGCAATGAACCACATTTTTTAAAGAATGCAGTCATTGAAAACTAGTGATGAAGTTTTGCGGAATGACAGAAAAGTAGTCAATGGCGAAGTACTGATCGATAATCATCTGCGTGAAACGAACATTTCAGTTTGACAACTTCTCGATTGATATGCATCAATGGATGTCAAAGAACAATATGTATTAGCAAGAGATGATGAGCGTTTTGTTCGTTGTACTCAAGGTAGTGCTGTTTGGCTCGGATCAAGATGCTCGTATAATGCCAATAAATATGATGGCTTTTCGTGGATGATTATTGTACAATTCAATACAAAGGAAGATCACAATGCTGAGGTTTTTGTCGTTCACAAATGGTACGTATTATCCAATGAAAGATGACCAATGTCAATTCGTTCTATGTATGGATTGGCGAGAACTATGTGATGGTAAGTTTTGTTCAATTCTCTAAGATACAATGGTTAGAAGGAAAATCTTCAAAGCTTAACTTTTTAAAACATCATTTTGTACAACATCTTAAAGTGGAAAAGCTATTTTGAGGAAGTTACGATTGGTGATAGAGTAGTTAAAAATTTTGTTTGCTGTAGAATCTTTAGTATACTTTTGGATTCATAAAAAGATGAGAAATGCAAAAAGATACGAGATAAGCACTTTTATACTTTCGCCAAAGTAGCATGTAGTATGTGGGATACAAGATTCTGATGTTTCGACTGAGAAAATGGTCATAGTGGGGTGACAGCCAATAGTCAGTTTGGTATCGTAGAAAGTTATTTTCCCAAAAAAGTGAGTCTGCGTAAGTTTATGTATGTGACAAAATATTTCTTCGCATATCAATACCAAGTCGTTTATAGACTACAATGCAAGCAAAGTTCTCTTTCTTGAAGAGGCATCGAGACTTATCTCGTTTTAGTAGTGTGATTAAGAGCTAAGGTGATGAGGTCATAGTGCAGAAAACAGAGTACCATATAGAACATGCTATAGTAGTATATTCGAAAAGTGTCTTGTTCTATATGAGTTACGCTTAAAATTGCAAAATTTCACTTGATGTGCCATATTTGTCATCCAGAATGTCTTTCAACGCGTGAATCTGACATTTCGATTATCGCAGGAACTTCAGAATGAGTTCATATAGTAAAATGTTTGAGTATATTGACGATTTGGTTTGTGTTGTGTTATTTCAATGTGTCCCTTAAACAACCATTAATTTTCCGAGTGCACATAAAAAAGGTTTTGAATGATGTTTAACGCCTTAAGGACGAATTTTTTTCAATCAAAAAGTGATTCTTCAATCATTGCATTTTATTTGGCTGAAAATGACAGCATAAAAATTTTGTGAGACTTATAAAAATCAATTTTTCTCATCTTTTATATATATCAGGAACTCCAATCATATTTAAATTATCTTTTTATTCATTATAATCTAAATCGAAGTCACTATCGTTGCTGTCTGTCATAATATATGAATTACCGGACTCAACATCGACTTCGCTATTTCTATATTATTTCGTTTGTTTAGTTTTTATTATAACAAAATATAAAGAAATGAAGAGAACAAAATATTTTTATTTTTCTCTGAATGAAAAACTAAACAAAGTTCATTAAATAAGCGTGTAGGTATAGTTCTACTTCGTGCAAATGAAAACCTGATAAATGTTTTTTTAAATCAAGAACAAGAGCATGTAATTATAAGCTCATAATAAAGCGTGATAATATTCTTGAAAGAAAATAGATCAGAAGAAAAGACAGAAATTATAATATCACGATACAGTAGCAGCAAGAACATAGAACATGTGAAAAGAATCTACAGTAAGAGTTCCTGTAATACGGGCACCGTTGAGACTGGCCAACAGGGCTCACTTTATAGAGGTGTTCGTTATTGATAAATTATCAGCTTCTTTTTTCTACTTATAAGTATTCAATTATAATCACTTTTCGACTGCATAAGATGATCTTTTTCTTCTTTTCAACAATTTATCGATTGAACTTTTTTAATCAGAAGCAAATTAATATGTATTGATAGGACTTGATATTACTAGCTGTAACACAAACATGACGAGATGCTGCACTAACTACTACTGCTGTTGTCTAATATTGGTTCTTTTTCTTTTAAATATACACGATATTGTCCATTTTCTTCTTACGTATAACCTATGAGTATTTGTCATAACGCATGCGCATAACGTCATGTTTTTTCTCGTTCTATGTATGAGTAATAAAACATTTGTTTTTCATATTACAGAGATGGTTATTGCTCATGAGACTAGAGATAAGCATACGTTGCTCAGAGTAAAGAAATACTCATATTAGAGAGACTTATTCCTAGAAAAATTCGCTTGGATGGACTATCTACCGTTCAGTACTGAACGATGCTCATTATAGAGAGGTACTCACATAGAGAGAGTTTATTGTATGTGAGAGAAAAGAGAAGTATGAGATGATAAATGGGATCATCTATGATCTATATATCGTTGAAGGTCTAATAGTTTAATTTAAACCAAATACTTGTTCTCTACTGAAAAATAAGAGGGACAACATGTGTCCCACCATCCTCAAAGGATTCAACGAGTACATCTCAAAACTATCATTGAATGTTGTCAAAAAAGCATGTTGTGAAACGCAAACATATATTAATTGTACCGATTATACTTGCCATTCTATCCTTACCTAGTCTCGCTCTTACTTTTATTTTAATATGTACAAAGCTTAGTCGACATTCACTTCTCAGTCTATTCGCTTATTTGATTGACTTTTTACCATCGATGTTTACGTTCGTTGCATTTGTTCTGCCGACTGAAGCTTATCAGAGCGCTTTTTTTTTGAATTTGTCAAACACATTGCACCGCAATGTATTCAAAATTGGTTTGATGATCATCATCGTCAAGTGTAACTCATTATTTATACTATGTCACTTATCGTACCTTCTACTGTCTATCTGTTTGTATCAAGGTCTTTTTCGATATTGCAGCATTTTGACACATTCGATTGTAAATTACGATAATCAAATGATCGATCATTCTAGAAGATCAGTTGCTCGAGATGTAGGCCCATGACTGTCTTAATCTATTACCTAACTCAGATATATCCGAAACCGATCGCTCACCATTGTGCTCACATCGTAGGTATGCATTCATCATTCGAAGCTACGTCATCAAGTTCTACGCTCACACTAAACTGTCCATCCTATTATAAGCTAAAGACTGATAGATGTTGGAACTATACCAGAATATGGTTATGTATCTATCTGTATATAGTGTCAATTAAGAAATATTTTTACATCATTGAGCATGAACATCTATCTGACGATGAATAAAATCAATTATAAGAGAATCACTAGTTCCTGCAAAGAATCATGACGATTTGCTCCGTTTTCTAATATCGATTTCACAAGCATGACTTTATTTCTTTCAAAATGCATTGTTCAAAAGTCGACCTGAGTAGTAATCAAGAGAGATATCAGTTTAATCAGTTACTTTAATTAACATGATGAATTTTTGACTAGACAACAAAGCTTAAAAAACCAATTGTATTTGGTTTATTTGTCTTGCACATGCTTTGGAACATTCTGATTATGTTGTCTTTGAAAAAGAAAAATCAAACTTTTGCCAGATAATATGAAACCTAGCAATAAATGCAAGTCATTTATGGATATAGTATAATGTTCCAATGAGCTATTGAAAGTTGAACACATAATGTTTGGATCAAGATCAGTAACTTAATGATTTTTCATATACTCTATAGAGTTAATCACAATTTTAATATCGTTGTCTTATATTCTTGATCTAATACACTAAATTCAGATGAACGCTAACGATAACTTTAACTTCAAGTTATAAAATCAGATTGAGTATCGATAATCAATTAGAATTCATTGAAAATTTTTCAATTAGACTCGATAGTATTAATATTTTAATCGATTATTAAAATTACAATTGATTTTAAATATCAATATGATTGCAAACCAAATAATCGATTATAAAAACCATAAAATGATTCTTTCTCAGATCATTATCGAAGCATAAGCAATTTTTAATCAGATTTAAAAAAAAACAGTTTTTCAGCAACACTTCTGATTGACTTGTTAATAATAAAACATAATCGTGATTTTTTTCTCAGATATTTTTCACTGGGAAATCCTTCCAGATACGACGAAACACAAGGCAGATATTTTGTGAAATGACAACAGCAAGGTACGACATCCATAGGCAATTATACTCAGATTTATTTGCATGCTCAATTATAAAGAATGGCTCAGTGGTCCCTACAAAGTGTCGTAGTCCATATTCGAAGTACTTGCACAAGAAAAAATTGCAAAGACAACTCCACAAAAATGATTGGTGAGCATTGACTATGATTCATCAGTACGACCTCCTATAGTAATGACTTGACAAAAATGGCTAAATTATGTTTCGCTTCACCGTCGAACATTCAAGGAGAGAACAAAGTCAAATGTGATGTATTTGCACATGCGCATGTAGTTAAAGGAAGCAAACAAACATTAAGGATGTATATTCACTGGTTACAATGGAGAGGAACAAACGAATTAAAAATCCTTGTTAATGAGATCCGTGAAATCTTTTCACTTGGTAGTGTAATATGCATTGTGAAAAATGTTCCTATCAATGATGACAATGTATCCTATCTTTCGATTGCTAAAAGTTTTGGTGGTGAACTTCTTCGTGATTTACGTATGCCATCCAGGGCCCTGGAAGCAGATTCGGTGATCTATCGTGTTGAAGAAGATCCATTGAATACCGATGAATATGCTCTTTCGGCAACCAATGCCCATTTTCCGCTCCATACTGACTGTGCACACTTTCTTTATCCGGCTCAAGTGATGATGTTACTCTGTTGCCAACCATCGATGAATAATGATGATGGAAAAACTATATTGATCGATGTAGATGATATTTTAACAATGCTGACTAAAGAGCAAATTTCTGACCTCGCCACGAATCAGTTTCCTTGGTGGCAAGGAGCAAATCAGCAAGTACGAGCACCTATTTTGACCAAGACCGATGAAGGTCGCTGGCAAATTCGTTTTAATCAGACTACATTGAAGCGAGAAATGGGTGACGATGAATTTGTGAAAGCATCTGCTCTTCAATCGCTCATCCGTGTATTGAAAAACATCGAAGTCAATCCAAATAATTCAATTACTTTGGCTTCTGGTGACTTGCTAATTGTACACAATCAACACGTACTTCATGGTCGCACAGCATTTGCATCGCAAAGTTCACGGCTTCTCAAAAGAATTCGAATACGTGTCCCCGATTTATGAGGAGATAACTTCTCGAATATTGTTTGTTTTCTATACAGGATGTTACATTATCTATGAGTTACTTTCTCTATTCTTTTTTGTGTTAGTCGATTTATTTTTTAAAATCAAAAGAGTCTTGTGACAAGCTAGTTGCATCGTTTTCTGTACCGAAAAAATTTTTTCTTACGAGAAAATTGCTATGATATTAAATAGCATACACCAGAAATTTGATATTAAATAAAAACTTGATCAAAAGAAAATCGACTGATCATTATTAATTAATAGATTTTATGAAGACTTTTTCACGTTGAATTCTCGAAGTTTCTAGAATTTTATACAGGTCAATCATCATGACTCATAATTAATGACTCAAAAGACAGAGAAAAAAATGAAATACTTTCAAGTAGATTGAAAAGTACATCGTTTTGGTGATTCTCAGACGTGACTCTAACGTAGAAGATATGGCTGTCCTTTGTCATGCTGCTGCTTTTTTATTACTTTCGTTTTTGGGACATAAATGACGACACATCATCTTTACAATAGAAACAATTAAGTAACAATAATTTCTATTTATTATACTTTACTTTATCGTTTTGCGTTTACTTTTTCTTTCTGTTTTCTTCAAAATAGTTTTAATGCCACAAAAAAACTTGCCTTTCTGTTTTCATTGGAAGAGAATGATTCGCGGACTGTTAGTGAAAAAAATTTTCTCACATTTGTTCTGTTAGCAAGTTCTAGAAAAACAAGTTTAGACAATATACGAAACAATATATGGAGCTATCTGTTGATCTTTGTATTTCATAATTAAAAAGAGAATTAATCGTTTTCGTAAATTAATTAAGGTCGATTAGTTGAACTCCATGTATATTTATGATGTTCTTTTTTTAATATATTCGTTTATTTAAAAAAAATACTCGGAATGAAGAATATTATTTTTGCGACAACCTATAAGAGGTCAAACATAGTTAAAGAGAAAAACATTGGACAGATGAAGGTAGAACAAAATGTTAAAACCTCGTGTATTTTCAATAAAGTCAAAATTCAAAGAAAAAAGAAATCCTACAAATAAAAAGAAGAATTGAAAGTATCATATAGTTTATGAGTTCTGACAAAATAATAAAATCTGCAAATGTTTATAGAACATCATTGAAAACTTCTGAGCGAATACTTCTATGCCAGTATAAATAATCTAAGCGAAAAAATGTAAGTTGTGCTATACTTAACAATTACTTACTTGAATAATTTGTTATTCTTTAGTAAAATGTTTAGCTCGCATCAACATTATTGCTTTTTTTTGATTTCCTATGAACTGAAAACTCTTTTAAAAATAACATGACAATTTCTTTGTTGACTTCTTATACTATTTGCAGTGACGAAAAATATTGATCGACAACGCAAGTAAGAAGAAAAAAAATAAAATAATTTTCTTATTTTATATAAACTCAACAACAGGTGACAGTGGACGCTTTACTAAAAGAAAATGATCAACAATCGACCAATTCAAATTGAATATATTCAGGAAGTGACACCAGTGAGAAAAAAATCATACAAATCGCCACGTTATATCATTGGACCTAATAATCAGATCGTACCTCAACCTCTGTTTACATGTATTGATGAAATTTATGCACATGATCCTATACCAAAATTATCATTGCAACAAAAAAAACGAACATCTAGTTCCTTAAAAACGACACCTAAAGAAACTAAAACAAAAAAATGGAGAAAATGGTTAATAGTTATTATTATAATTATAATTATTGTGTGTGTCATAACAATAACTGTTTTATTAGCTGTTCTTCTTACTGTTAACAAATAGAATTAATGAACAATAATCGTTTTATCTTTAAATAAAACAAATATAAAGTAAACATATACTTGAGTAGTGCATGATATAACAACAAAATATTTAATTTAACACAGAACTTATGTTCGGAAGTTTCAATAACAGACAAGAAACGGTTTGCATTTAATTGTGTATTTTTTATTATTATTGCAGTGTGAAGCATAACATTTATGTAGTCGGTCACGTGCACATTCGGCCTTCATACTTTGCATGTTTTTTACTGTAACAAAACTTGTTCTTTGTGTCATGGTGATCTAGAAATCCGTTTGATCATTGCCAGAGACACGCATATCTCGAAATAATGCAAACGTTTTTGAACCTGCAATAGGAGCTTTCGTTCATTTTTTTCAATAAATTTCGAAAGACGGCGATTTTGGCTTCCATGTTTTATCCGAGATTATTAAAAGTAGTGAAGTAGTCCCACGCCAGCCGTTATGAGCAGGGATGATAATGAGAACCTTCGACAGGACACAATCGACTTTAGCTGCAATTGTTTGCGGTTCTTATGTGAATTCAAACTCCATTGAAGAAATTCGAGACTGCTTCACACTGCATTTACGCAGTCTTTTTTGACTTTTCTTTTTTTACTTACTAGACTTACGGATTGGAACTTATCATTTGCGGTCACGCTAATTTCGAAAACTATAAGTCAAAAAACACTGGTTCAAATGTGAGGATGGAACTCCACAATCGAATCTATAACATTCGTTTTCCAATTTCCACCAGGACGTCCTATTTTCTTAGATAAAGTCATCCAAAAAGGCAAATTGACAAACTGATTTTATTCATCAAAGCTCTATGAATAGTTGATTTTTGATAAAGAACCATGCAGATAATTAAGCGATGAATTCATAGTATCCTCTGAAACCATGTTGACAACGTTGATGGATTTCTCGTGGTAATGAATTTTGTCATATCTGCTTTATCATTCCTGCTATAGTCCGATCACTAGATTGATTGAAACGCAAATGACTCGAATTTTCAATAAGAGTAACACGAAAGAAATTCGTTGCTGTATACTGTAAATAAGTCGGGCGGTCAGCTGTTTTGTTATTAATCCTAAACATCAATATTCGTTTCTTATGATATATCAATTTTTTCGATAATCGACATTTGTAGTTTCGCACCACATTTTGCCATTAAGTGAAAGTTGAATGTGCTCTAGTTTCAGTTTCTCACTCTATCAAATATCTCTCCTGAGAAAGTCTTGATGTTAAATAGATCCTCTATCTGATACTTGATAACAAACATCAACTGCTATAGAAAAGGTATACAAAAACCGATAAACAATATTTTGTAATTAAAACTCCATTTTTTAAATGAAATTTTTTTAATTATTTCATCAAAATATCTGCTGTTATCTATAAATAAAATAAAGTTAGCTGCAGAGTATTAGTATCCAGGATATGATATATGAGCGATAGTTCTTAATGCTAATTAGAATTTAAATAAAAATGAAAATAAAACATTCATTAGTTTTCATAGTACATTTCGTGGAAGACATTTTCTTTGTAAGGAAATATGAAATTAAGTAAAACTGTCTCGTTATAAAACATAGAATGCGAGGCATGACAAACATCATGAATAGTTTTTAGAACTAACAGAAAACTAATTATTTTTTAATTGAAGCGGAGAGATTCCCAAGATAAATCTGATCTGCACAGTAGGAATGGATGCAAAAAATGATATCACAATAAATTTGCCAAAAATAATAACATGATCCAATATATCCATCCTTCAGTTTCAGTCCGTATCCATTGATAGATTGAACTGCTCAATATATCTGTTGATTAGAAGTATAGCTCTTCAAGAAAATGAAAACTTCTAGAAGTGTTTGTACTTATGTCTCTTCATTCTCTACTTATGACAATTCCTACCTTTTGAGACGTAGATTCATTCAAATTTGATTATTGAATGACAGTTGTAAATTATCAGATTATGTCTACGTCTATTTAATTCTATCAACTTACATCTTGTACTTGTAATCAATAAGAGTTTTGTTCGTTGCTTATGACAAGAAAGTATCGTTAGAGAACAAGTGTCACGGAAGCATTTGTCATAAAATCTTTCAAAAATCATAGATTTGTTTATTGTATTTATAATTAATCATTTTGTAGATATATTAGAGATATACTTATGTGAAATAAAACTTCAATGAATATAATTTTGAAACTATAAAAATCCAACATAAATCATTTGGATGGTTAAAGAGATATTCATGTTTCTTTTTCGATCGAGCTTTTGAAACATCCTGTATAAAACTATTTCAGTTTGGGATCAGTGATTTCAATATAAGTTTAAAAGTTGATTTACAAATTCAAATGTTAATACTATGTGCAATTTCTTTCCTTTTCTTATCATTAATTTTTCTCTTTTTTCTAAGTGACTGAACAATCCTAAGTGAACTAATCCATTAGTTTATCGTTAATAAATCGACAATTAATTATAAAAAACAGTCTCGTATCTTCGAATCAATATAGTCAGAGCAATCGTATCGCTTCAATAATTGCTTGGTAATTAAAAAATGTTTTTATAATATTAAATAGAAGATTTATCGACAAAAAAAGAAACACATCCACTTTTTATTTAATTACTAAAACCCCAAAAAGCACTGGGTAAATCATATACGTCTCGTGCTCTCTTAACAACTGATGTAAATGATGAAACACAATTTCCAATAAAATAATTAGCATGAGCTAACATTGCAACATCAATAATAGGTAACCATGGATCAAGATGTTTAACATGTACACGTTGTGCTGCTAAATGTTCCTCAATTTCTTTAATCATTGGTCGTTTATCTGTTGCAACATAAATATTATGTATACGTGTACGAAGAACAATATTTTTTAATAAACGAAGTATTTCTTCATCAGATGGATAACATATTTTATGAGTAACATATTTATATGTAGATAATGGCAAATCAAGGCATTGAGGTGAAGCCATATATGAACGAGTTTTGAAGGATTCAACATCAGCACATGATCGTTCCCAATCAACATTATTTCGTAAATGAATTCCTATATGTAAAATTAAATATTTTATTCGAAATAATTTGTTTTTTGTTTTCAACATACCAATATAAAGTTCATTATTAAATAATTGTTTTTGATGTTGTCGAACTTCATTCATAATTTGTTCTGACCAATTCATATATTTTTGTAATTGACGATGTTCAGCTAACATTGGAAATGAAGCTGGAGCTCCTTTTAAAGCTAGAACACGATAACGATCAGCTGGAAATAATTGTTGCCATTGATGTATTGAATATTCATCATAATGAAGTTGATATGTCGCTGTATCAACAAAACTAACATTTAATTCATTCCAAAATGATTCAAATGGATTTCCTTCTTTCATTTGACATTCGGATTTAGGCCTATCAGCTGGTAACCAACAAAATCCAATACGAGATTCTGGTGGCCAAATATAAGGAGCAAGATTTTGCATAAAATCTTGAGCATCAATTACACGATGATAAGAACGAAGCGATTCAATTTGAAACCATTCAGAATATGGAATATTCTTATACGTACGCCACTAAAAATAAATAGTTTTTCAATTATCAATGAAACTTTCGAAATTGAATGTTTTGCGAAATAAATTCAATCTTTAAAGCAATATGCACAACACAAACTTTTTTATTCGTCTAATTATTCTATTTCAACCAAAAAATTGAGCATACAATAAAAATACAATTTTTTTTTCTTAAATAATTCTTTTCTTTGAATAAACTCAGAACTCATTCTTATCACATCATTAAAAAAAGTGTTACAAGCAATCAAAATCTATTCTTAATTTGATAAGCATATGCACTAAAACGTAAAAATATCTTTATACATACAGGTGGCACAATTAATGTTCGATTAATTAATTTAGCAAATGCTAATCCACCAAGAAAATGTTCCGCTTGATTCCCAAATCGACCCATACATAAACAAAAAATAATATAACCATTTGGATCAATATCTAGTAATTCTTGTTCAGTTTTTATTTGAAATATAAAACTCAATGAAATAATAATAATAATACCGAATAGATAGAAATTCATCTAAATGATACTTTGTAGAATAAACGCAGAATGTATGTATGAACGAAGAACAATTAAAAAGAAAATCAATTTTTTCGTTCTTTTATCTCAGGGAATTTAAACAATATCGAGTAAACAAGTAAGGCCATCCCATTTCACACACATTCATCAATATACTTTCTAAGCTTTTATATCGTTCGATTATTTGCAAAAGTAGCAAAACGAAAAAGAACGATTAATTCTCAATTGACACGTATTTAATCTCAATGTATACAATATGCAAATGACAATTTAATTGAAAGATATAATTTCTATACTAATATATAGTGACATCTTTTTTTTGGAATAAAGAAATTTAAAATATAAAATCTTAAGATTTATAGAGGTTGTTGCTGGCAACTGTAATGACATTATATTTAAATGGTTGACAATATGAAACACGATTAAATATGAAATGAATAACTATTTGTCAATATATATTGTATACTCGTAAGGAATTTGATCACAATTATTTAACATGCCTTGATAAGAATTGATCCGATTATTTGAACAAGTATACACTGATAAAGTTATTTCATATGAACAAATTAACTTTAATTTACATGTTAAATTTTTAGTTCGTTTTTTTTTCTTCTGTTTTATTTGCTTTATTAATATAATGTCTTTTAAATGAAGATACATCCTATATTTTTTTTTTTCTTCTATAGATTTATATACCATGTCGGAGGGTCGTCAAACACCTGATAATAATGGTCCTGATCAGGGCCCACCAGGCTCTGCAATGCCTTCAACTGAAACTGAAGGTTCAAAGAAAACATCAGCTATGCTTAAAACTGCTTTTGATGATGGAGCACTCAAAGTGATGGAAGATGAATTTCAGGTATATATATATACATCACATCTATCGAAACATAATTGAAGATTTTAAATTCTATTGTTGTAGACTGTACTTAATGAACTTGTTGGTGGTGATCGAAGTTTAGATAAATTTCGTAATGAATATGAAAAACTTCATAAAGCATTACTTAAATCTCATGATAGTGAAAAACGTTTAATGCAAAAATGTCGAGAATTAAATGCTGAATTAGTTACAAATTCAGCAAAAGTTCAATCTGCTATGAAATTAAGTGAAGAAGATAAAAGTGCTATTGCTTCATTACGAAAAGAAATTGAAAAAGCATGGAAAATGGTTGATGCTGCACATGAAAAAGAACAACGAGCAAAAGAAACTATACAAAGTTTAAGAATTGAAATTAATAATTTAAGTAAATTAGTCGAACAAGGAGCAGGTATGAATAAATGATTCTTATTTAGATAATATAGAGAATGATTCCATATTCATCATTTTATTTATTTTACGAAAGTGTAAAATACATGGAATAGAATGTATTTGAAAAATAGAAAAAAAAAAGATACTCGTGATTATGAATAATCATTCTTTATCTATACTCATGATCGCAACTAGGAAAATTAAAACTACAATCTCATACTAGGAAAACAATTAGTTCTTCAAGTCACATTATTATTTGATATTCGACGAAAGAAAATAATTAAATATTCTACGATTTTAACCGTAACATATGCCATTAACTCAATGAATTTTTTTATTGGAAGATGAGATTTCTTTAAAAAAAATTTCTATTGACTTTAATTAATATCCTTTGTTAAGATACAATACGACTGAATAGGTCTTTATGAGCTAAACGTTTACTACTCTTATACTCTTCTATATGTCTCTCAAAAAAAAAGAGTGCCTCTTATCAGTTGTCTCTATGAAACAAAAGATATGCATCTTCTTTTACATGAAACTACGAGAAACCAATTTTTTTTGTAAATAAATATTGTAATATAATCGATAAAACGTTTTTTAAAAGGACTTAATATGGGTCAAGAACAAGATGTAAATGATTTAATGAAAGTACGTGATGAATTAACTCAAGAACGAGATAAATTATTAAATGATATAACACAATTACGCCGTGATCTTGACGAAAGTTCATTTAAACAAAATGATTTAGAAAAACAAATTCATGAAGCTAATGAACAAATTCTTACGTTACAAGAAAAAATTACTCAATCAAAAACTGAAAATATGAAAGAAGCAAAAAAAAGAGTTTGTATTTTTTTTTATTTTACAGTAGTAGACAAAAATCTTCTTCCCTATCAGATCTCACTTATCATAGGTAATGGAGGTCTGCAAATTTGTATACATATAAAGGATGTTCCATAAGTTCTGGGCCTCAATGAAAATTAATTTACATGTAAATAATGAGTGATCTCTACTCAGCTATATCTATATAAGTTTCAAGTACTTAGAACGATATTTTAAATGGCATATTAATCAATGACATTATCTCTTTTAATAATGCTAACATAAGCAAAAGACATGTGATAATTAAAATCTCGCAATCGATCAATATTTTTTTAAGAAGTTTTAATGAACTATGAATTCATCAGATGTAGCATAACACAATTATATTAAGCGATACATAGTATCTAGGATGTGAGTGTGGCTATTCTATGTATCCACATTAGAGCTAACAGGGTCAGGGACCAACCTGACCGACTGTAATCTTCATATTAACTATCAATTTTCTTCTATTTATATAATTATTGTTAAAAAATGAATCACTCTTTGTTTACATGTAAACTAAGTCTTGTTTGAGGCCCAGAACACTTATTGAACATCCTCTAATCTACCAAGAATTGAGATCAAAACTACTAGCTTGCCTTGATTGCTTAAACACAAGGAGAATTATGAATGACACCACTTATTTTTCTTTTGAACTTTGTACTTCTGAAAAGAAAGCCAATCCTTCATTATTTACGACTGGATTCCAGCTATCCGCACTATTAATTTCATTAAAAACCATAAAATCCTTGCTCACTTGGTGACCAGTTTAGTGTCACTATTCGAGGGATGAAAAACTCTCTGACGCTATTTCTTGACTGCAATTCAGTAATATTTCAATGAATCGAGCTCAAACTTTTAAGGAAGTTTGCCTATAGTTGAACATTATTGTCTACAAGTTTCAGAAAGAGACATTCTTTTTCAGAGACACAGTATGCCAATAATCATCGTATTCGTGTCGACGATTCAAAGACATCCAGAGACAGCGAACTTGCAACAAATTATATGATATTTTGAGTGACGAAAGCCTATACACTGAGTTTCTTTTGACAAATAAAAATATGGGCAACTTTTTCAAGACAAAAAGCTAGCAACGAAAATAGGTATATATTCATCATAATTCTTGTTAGATTTAAGTTATCGAGATGACTTCATGCGTGGTAGAATATATTCAGACGAATATTCAGACCTTCTGCACGTACAAAAGCTGAGATCTAGTGAGAGGATCATTGTTCACAATTGTATTAATTATCATTTTACTATCGAATTGATCTTTTTATTAGGAACAAATTGAACTTGAACTTAAAACAAGTAAACAAAATTTAGAAGTAAAAAATGCAGAATTTAAAGCTCAAACAGTACAGTTTGAAACTCAACAACAAGAATTAAAAAAAGCTCAACAACAATTACGACAATTAAAAGAAGATAATGTTCGTTTAACAAAAGATAATCAAATTCTTCAAGTACGTCTTGATAATTCTCGTACACAATTTACTGAACTCGTTACAACAAATGAAAAACTTGCTAATGATTGTGCACGTCGTGTAACAGAACTTAAAGAAAAAGAAGATGAACTTGTACAATTACGTAAAGAGCGTGATAATGAACAAAAGAAAAAAGATCATGTTGAAAAACGTTTACGACAAGTTGAAGATCAAATTGGTGAAATTGAACAACAACGTGAACGTCTACGTTCAACAATATCATCATTAGAACAAGAAATTGATCGATTTAAAAAAAGTCAAGATGAAAATCGAAGACAAATTGATACATTAACACGTGAACGCGAACAATTAAATAAAACATGTCAAAAATTAGTTGCTGATAATCAAAAACAAACAGATCAAGTTAAAAGTTTTGATCAATCAAAAAAAACTTTAGAACAAGATATTACAAATTATAAAGAAGAAGCAAGTAAACAACGAAAAATTATTCTGAAAATGGAAAAAGAACGAGATCGGTAAATTATAGTTTTATAGTCTAGTATTGAAAATTCCATTCAGATGATTTTCAAACAAATACATCTATTATGAAATCATCAATCCATAAGTTTCGATAGGTTTTCACAGAATTCAAATTGATAGTGATGTTAAATATACTTGATTGAAATGAAAACTTCTCTTTCAAATTAGTTTGTATCGATTCCAGAGTTATAATCAGTTAATTATAGTCGTTTACATATGTAATACTTTTCTGTTTAGCAAGAGAAACAAAATATTCATTTATCCAAAAGCTACTATCCAAAATTCAAATCTTCAATTTTTCCACTCAGATTTTCTAGACAAATCTAACATTTTTCTTCGAATGAATTTTCAAATCTTAATATAATCTCTAAATATCAATGATATAAATTGAGAAGTTTATTCTACTTCAATTGAAGAAATAAAACAGTTTGATTATTTTGATAATAGCACTGAACTTTGTTCTCATCCTGTTTTATCAAAGAAAAATGACATATTAATAATAATTTCTTTCAACCAGTCCGGGAAGATTGGTTATAACTGTGATCTATCCACTTAAAAGAACCACGAATACATGTTCTAAAAAAATAAAAATCTTTATTTTATCCACTGAAGCTATTTCTAGCATAATCTCAAAGCTGATCATAATCATATCTACCAGATGAATTTAAATTAATCTTACTGGAGATATAAAACCAATCGTTGTCAGCATATGTATTTGTTCTGTTTTTATTAAAGCAAATTATTTGTTATCTATACACAAAATTCTCGTTTTTTTCCTATTCGATTAAATGATTTCAATATGAAAGTTATTCTTGGAATGGCATATAATGTTAGTAGATCATCTCGAGAACAATAATAATTGTTTAAATCTCAGCAAAAGATTCCATCAAATTCAAAATTACTGATCAAAACTCTATAATTTCGAAAAAAAAACTTGACTTTTCTTTGTATCATTAATCTTGTTCATCGCTAAAGTATATGTCTCTAATAGATAGGTTCATCAAGTTAGATTTTAAAATCAATAGACAAAAATTTTAGTTTTCCAATTATGACAAAATTTAAATATCTTTTTCTATTTTTCAATTAGTTATATAACTGAAGCTGGTCAATTAACAAATCAAGTACTTGCATTAATGGAAGAAGTAAAGAAAAAAGAACTTGAATTATTTGATCAAAAGAAAAAAATAGCTGAATTAGAAACTCGATTAAAACAACAACAAAATTTATATGAAGCTGTTCGATCAGATCGTAATCTTTATTCGAAAAATTTAATTGAATCTCAAGATGAAATTGGTGAAATGAAACGTAAATTAAAAATAATGAATCATCAAATAGATCAATTAAAAGAAGAAATTCAAGGTAAAGAACAAGAATTAGTACGTGCACAAGCTGATCATGAAAAAGTTAAAAAAGATAAAGAACAATTAATGTTAAGTGTTGAACAATTAAAGAAAGAAGCAATTAAAAAAGAAGAAGCTTATGCAAATCAACAATCAGAATTTGAACGTTTAAATAAACAATTATCTGAAGCAAATGATGAACGTAAAAAACAAATGAAACAATTACAACAAGTAAATAAATCGAAATCTCTATATTTATAAATCTTATTTTTCTTAGGTTATTGCTGAACGTGATGTTCTTGGTACACAACTTGTTCGTCGTAATGATGAACTTGCACTTCTATATGAAAAACTTAAAATTCAACAATCAACATTAAATAAGGGCGAACTTCAATATAAAGCTCGTCTAGAAGATTTACGCATATTAAAATTAGAATTAAAAAAATTACGTCATGATAAAGGTACTTTACAAGATAAAGTATCAAATACAGATGATCTTAAACGTGAAGTTTTTCATGTTCAACGTGAATTATTGCGTGAACGTACACGTTGTCGAGCATTAGAAGAAGAATTAGAAAATCCAATGAATATACATCGTTGGCGTAAATTAGAAGGTAGTGATCCATCAACATTTGAATTAATACAAAAAATTCAATTACTTCAAAAACGTTTAATACAAAAAACAGAAGAAGTTGTACAAAAAGAATTATTAATACAAGAAAAAGAAAAATTATATGCTGAACTCAAACGTATTTTAGGTAATTTTCTAGAATTTAATTTTGTAACAATCTATTTGACTATTAATTATCAATACTAATAGTTTACACTGTCCATAAATTATCTTAAAGAATTTGAATAGAGATGTTTTATGTCTAAGAAATATTGATAATCTCCTGGAATTAAAAGCCGTCAAGTCTAAGTCTGAAAATTTTCTGTTAGAGATAGGCTCTAGCAATCTGATAACTGTGTAGGATTTATTAGTCACTGAATACCGAGAAAACGGAAAAAAGTATCTCGTATCTTCGAGCTGACTATCTGATTAGAGAATTGCCTTGAGTATGTCAAAGTTCGGTGCGATCGGGTCCGGATCGGAAAATTTTGTACCCGACAAGCACTACCCGAGATTGACAGAGAACGTCAAATAATGTCACTTATATTCACAAGCAGACTAGTGCTCAAAAAATTTCAACAAGAAGTGTTCCAATCCATTAAGAGCGATGCAATCATCATAGAAATTGCTTCTCTTAAGCAATTTTTCGTTTTTCTAAAATTGATGTTTGGTCGGCTATGAACTTTTAATCATAATACTATTCTTTTACACATATGTCTAGCTGTTCTGATTATTATTCTATATATTTCAATTCTTGATCTACATTTACTTGTTCGTTTCGTATTCAAGGATATCATCTTTCGCATGATGTGTGTGATTAACAACTTCGTTGAGATTTAGATTGATTGACTTTTATGAATTTCTAGAAAAGTATTCAAGTATCGTAACGATGATTAGGATCTTTAAAATTTTAGTTTTGTTATTCGCAAATCAAATTCTATGAATCACATTTGTTTTAATAAAATCTGAGTAATATATGATAATTGACATCTTTTCTTCATCACTTACACATCATAAAATAATTACATAGAAAACTTTTCATTTACAATGCAAACATAAATATTCTATTTGACATTTTAATTCCTCCGGGGATAGTATTAGTTTTTTTTCTAATGTTCTTATATTTTTCAGCTCGACAGCCAGGTCCAGAAGTAGCTGAACAATTATCGATTTATCAAGAAACACTTAAAGCTAAAACAAAACAAATGAAATCGTTGGCTAGTGAAGTTAATATGTATGAAAGTCAAATAGATGAATATAAATATGAAATTGATAAACTTAATCGACAACTAACTGAAGTACGACAGAAATATTTTCTACAAAAGAAAAAAGAATCAATGGCCAAAGAAAAAGAACGTCTTACACAAGCACAAGAACTTACAACAACGATTAATGGAATTACATTGCAACAACCACCGCCTGATCTTATTCAACCGAATCGATCTAGGTAAATCTTTTGCTAAGGTTTGTTTTTTGATTCAATATAAGATTTAATATTATTTTAGTGATCAAGCTCGTTTTATTGGTGGCGGCTTCAATATGAAATCAACACCAAAGCCTTCTGCTGTTACTGCCTAATGTTTGTATTAATCTTTCAAATTCAAATAAAAATGCCTTATTTTCATTTGTCGTTTCTTGTTTATGAATATAAATCACAGTTAGAAATTAATTAAAAAAATTTCTAATCATTATTCGCAATTTAAATTGAAGTCGGATTTGAAGAAACATGAAAATCTTCTTTTTTTCGATTAATTTACGTTTCGTTATAATTTAAAAGTCAAAATTTTTGAATAATTTTTTATTTTCTTAAATTAATGTCGATTTCAGAATCCAACGACCGCCGTGAACAGTTTTTGAATAAATTCACAACAAAAAGCGAGAAATAACTCCAGTTTTCAGCGCTTTCAAAAGTTCGTCGTGTTACTCTATTGACAACGAAGAATGAAAAACGAGTAGAATAATGTAAGTGAAAACATATCAATGCTTCTTATATATATGAATAAATGCAGATCATTGTCTTCGGTCTTTGATATCTTTCACAAAAAAAAAAATAATAATTCTTTTCGTCTAATTCTATGATAGCAAAAATCACGCTTTGCTTCAAATGCTTCATGAATCTTGATCAAAAACAGCCGTCGAAAAAATCACTTGGGAAAAAAATAAGACTATTTTGCCTCGATCAGAAAAGGTTACATTGTAATGGCGAAAGAGAAAATCCATCCAATGCTTTCAGATAGTGCGCTACAAGATTCTGAGTCTACTATCTTAGTCATTTTGTACTAGGGCTCGGGGACAAAAATTTATCAATTAGAAATATTAATCAAATGAATTTAATATGACATCTTTTAGATGATTCAAAATTTGAATCATCAAACGCTTTAGACGAATAGTTGCCAGTGTGTGTATGAATCAGAGACGTGTGTCGCGCCTAAAAAACGAGGCGGAGGCGGCGCAAAAGGTTATGTTAGCCTTTGAAATAGTGATCAAGATGGTCACCACCTTAAAGTCTTTTCACTGAGTGGCGCGACCGCTCTGCATCCTTTCAGTTGAGAAGCGCGGAGTAGCCACCCGGCGCCCGCATCTAACGATAACTGAAAAAAAAACGTTTTTCGCCGATGTTGTCCTCATATTTGTTACTCTATGATATTTTTTATAATGCTGTTTCATTTCTGAATACTTTTATAAGAAGAGTAACATAATGTTGAAAGTATCACGCAATAATATTTAATTAGGGAAAATAAAACTGTGCAAAAAGTGGCGCTCAAAGTAGATTATACACTTTATACAAAAATCGACGTATGCTACACAATAAAATACTTTTCATTTTGTGATATCGAACAGAAAGAAGCATTTCGTAGTGTTTCGACAAAGTTTTTCTGGCTTGTACAATAACAACACCTTCGTAATATGATTTTATTTTTCAGATCGTAGGATGTACGGCTTTTATTCTGTAACATACGTTGATTATTGTATGAAGTGTACGATGGATTTTGAGCTAAAAAAAGAGCAGTCTTTTTATTTGACATAGCAAGCTTATGAAAGAAAGGTCTGATACTTGGCTAAAATAAACTATGAAACAATTCCTGTTCAACAAAAACGATTCTTCTTCTTTATTGAACATGTAGAAAGAAACATTAAAGAATTGCGATCTAACATATCTGTACCAGGCTTAAAGATCAAGGTCCATGTGTGTCTGAGACAGGAGGATACGGTCATTATCCTATTGAGACTTCTGGTTGATCATCTTACTCTCTTTTTCTTAATACAACCACTAATACTGCATATACTATTCTGCCGAAATAGTTATGAAAAATTCAAGGTTTTTACACATAAAAAGTGCACATTTTAATTCGTTAAAAATAAATATTATTTCGTATAACAAAAGTGAGCTAGTAAAAATTAATGTTTTTAAACTTGTTCTTCTTCAAAGAAAATTTTTTGATATGATAAAATGTGTCCTTTATACTGGTAAAAAAGTTGACCTTTTTGTTATTTGTCTATTTGGATAGTGATATATCATCATTTCTCTATATTCAAAATTTAACTGATTTATTTCATTTATTCCTAGCAGTTGCAGTAATTTAATACGACTACAACAAGAGAAACAACTAGAATAAGTAACATACTTATAGAAATGACAATAATAGACACGATTGCTATCTATACAGAGATAATTATAACAGAAATAACAACAATATCTTAGTTTTCTAGGATTCAAATCAAAGAAAATACGAATTTATAATTAACAAAAAGTCTTTTACGCCGCAAGAAATACAATTGTGTTCATAACAATCATAAATCCATTAGCTATTATAACCTTCAAATGAGTTCAAACTTGAATTTATAGTTACGTTTTTATTAAATGTCATTACAATTGCGTGGAAGAAGAAAAAATTTATTTAAAATTTACAAAAAAACAAATAAATCGTTTTCCTTGTCGGCTTCTTTTTTTAATATCTTTGCCATATATGTGACAAAAATTACAATAAGCAACAATTCATCGTTCTGAGCATAGAACCAATTTGATATAGTTTTTTTTCGTGATTGCCTGTACTTTTTGTAAATACTTATCTTTTACAAACTAGCTTTCTTCAGAACTCACCAAAATCGAAAAAAAAAACTTTCGGACAATGAACTTCAATTAAATATTTTCAATAGCAGCGCACCAGTAGAAAACTAATTATTCCATATGAAAGCTAAAAATATAAAGGAGGCAGATCGATAATTGTTGAAAATGGTTTCTTCGACAAATTTGATTTCTTCCATGTCAAACTATTATACAAAAAGCTCGAAAGTGCGTCCTGTTAGAATTAGTAATATGGCACTTATTTATGCTGCGGCTACGTCGATTAAAATAGTCAATAGCTGTCACGTGTACATTGAGCCTGACTTTGATGACAATCAATATTTTTTTATCTGCTCATGTTATGAGCGCTCAGACTAGTTTTCACATGGTTCAATAGCATTTTTTTTAAACGCTTCCAAATAATGTAAGAACATCGGGAAAAAAGAACTAGCTACGCGTCAGGCTCAATGAGCATGTGATTGTTAGTCACTATTTCATTAGACTTGAGCATGGCATAAATAGATGTTGTAGAACTAATTCAATCAGAAATCACTTTCGGGCACCTTGTATTGTAGTTTAATATAGAAGAAATCAACTTGTTCAAAAAAATCAATTATTTCAATGTCTTTTCTGGTTGATATTTCCGTGAGAAATTACATTTCTAGTGATTCACTATGACGAATACTATTCATAACAAGAATACAATGAATCGAGAGCCGTAACTTAGTATTTTTCCATCATCTACTTCCTTCTTCCTATTGAGAATTTAATGATTATGCATTGAATAAATAACTGAAGATGTTTGCACAGTAAATCTTCCGTCAAACAGATATACACATAGATCTATTGCTCACAATTAATTGATATTCAGATATTAACAAGATTGAAAAGTAGCATCTTTGAACGATACATTAATCTGCTTGAAAATAGTTCATTATGTGTTTAAATGAACTATTGAAATATCTATACAGAAAAATAATATAAAATAAACAAAAGTTATTGTCTTAAATATTGTTGATAAAATATTTCTGCAAGTCTCGTATATCCATCTGCAGATGGATGAAATCCATCAAAGGAAATATATTCTGGATGTACAGCTAATTCTTTCCAATATACAAACAAATCAACAAGTTCGCATTGATGTTTTTGTACTGTATCACTAATAACATCATTCCATTGTTTAATTTGCATACTAAGATATTGTTTTGGAATTCCAAATGATTTATAAATATTAACTTGTGCTAGATCTGGTATATTTCCAACAAGTATTCGTGTATTTTTATCAAATTTTGTTCGTAATTTAGATAACATTTTATTTAAATCTAAATGATAATTTTTCAGTATAGATGGATTAAATATTTGTTGATTAAAATCGTTGACAGCTAACCAAATTGTTATAATATTTGGTTTTTGATCAAGTACTTTTGGTAATTGTTCGTGCATAGCATCAGAAAGAGTTGATCCACTTCGTCCAAGATTTAATGTTTCTTGTGCATTGATTAATGAAGCAAATTTTGGTACCCAACCATTTTCAGATGGTTGTGATGTTCCTACACCAACAGCATCAGATGCACCGAGAGCAATATATTTTAATATATTACTAGTTGAACTAGTAATATTTGAAGATTGTGCACACTTCATTAGATCTAATAGCGACAAAAATAGTATAGATAATGTTATTGATAATATTAGCATTATTAATATTTAAAAGAAATACAAAACTCACTTGGAAAAAAGAATATAGCCAAGTACTATATAAATGACTGTGTACTCTGTCTTGTATTGCTTTTATGCAATCATAGGCGTTATATAGTACATTCTCCATCTTACTTTTGCACTGAATGCCCTACTATGACTTGTTCGTTTGTTTTTTTTTTCTTCCTGTAATAAAGAGAAAACTCAAGGCTATGACGTAAGTTGTCCTCAGGAAGCATTTCTATGAGTGATCAGAGGAAAATAAAAATAACTTTTTTTGTTGTATTTTCAATACTAAATACAAAAAAATATATTCTACAGTATAGAGAGCAACCACTTAGACATTAATTTTTACAATTATTAGCGATTTATTCATGTGAAATGAGAGACATCAAAGATCATTATACTACGTTAGCGTCTATTTGATAAAAGATGTACAGAGTAAAAAATTACTTTTTGTTATCACATCTATAGAACTTGGACAACTATAATATTTTTATAAATACAATGTGCTTCGTATTTTTTTGAATAACTTCAGAACATAACAAGCAATAGACCTATTGTTATCGCAATTCGAAAGAACGAAGTAGGCAACGTGGATCTACATAAAAAATGATGAATTCCTTCACAATTTTCTTTGATATTGTCTTCCAATTTGCTTGATAATTGTAGTAAAATGTTTCTATTCGTGATATTTAATCTTGAAAGACAACTGATTGATATGTTATATATACAGTAGACGATGATTCCACGTTAGTTGAATTCAACAAGATAACATGTTGAAGTCGTCCAGTTTAAAAGAGAAATATGTCCCACAATAAAATAAAAAGGAATTGCATCTGTTGATGTTTTAAAAGTTCTTTTATTAGTTAATGAACATGCATCTTGTTTAACAGACTGACTTCTGCATAGATTTCTGTCTCTTGTTTCACTCGTTTGCATATTGAAAACCATAAAACTCCAACTATTTGCATTCTGAAATTATTCAAAAAACAACGAGACACATTCTATTCCTAAGTAGATAGTAGTATCCTAAATAGACATGTGCGAGACTGGAACTGCGAGAAAAATATCTGTTGGTATCTGAACTCTAGTTGATAGTAAAATATTCTATGGTTTTAAACAATTTATCTTATAAATCAAATGAATCAGAACATAATTTAAGAAAGAGATAACTCAAGCAAGTGTTAACCTTCGACTAAATAAACAAGTAACGTTCATCGACATCGAAGGTCGATTCACCGGGCCCTAGACTGACGGAATGAAGAGAAGGATGTGCTTCACATTCAGCACTCAGACTCAATGGAGCGACTCGTCTTCCTATCCAACTACCCGCCGTTCCATACATGCATCTGAAACAAGGTCATGCTTTACGAGTATAAACAGTTCTTGGACACTAGAATGGTCGTCTGTGCCACAGACATCGTCATTTGTACCATAAAAATGGTCATTTGTGCTATGGAAATGGTCATTTGTGGCAGTGTTACAGACAGACAGACAGACACAGGTGAATTACAGTTTCTAGACTCTATCCTTCCAGTCTAGGGAATAGAAAAACATATGAGTAGTGAAAAATTATTTTAGATGTAATACGAATAAATTCTGAAACAGTTTTCTTTAGATCGGAACCAAGATTGGAATCGAGATCCGAAAAACTAAAATCATCGGAATTAAAAAAGACTTCATTCCACACATATCTAGTCCTGAAGCTATCAACAGATGAAGAAAACAAAGTTGAATATCAACTCTAAAAAAATGAAAACTAGCTTGCTTGGTTATCATATTATGATAAATTTCGTTAATAATGATTGTCTATTTCTTAATCTCAATTCATACTGTAGTTGATTGAATATACGAAATACTAATGCAAAAAAAAACGAAATTCTATATTAACAAGATTATCACATTTTTATATCATGATAGAAAAGATATATATAATCAAAAAAAGAAATAATTGTCACAGTAAAATACACATGTCTTTTCAATGTACTGTATTAAACTTCTAAAGTAAAATTTGCTTTCGAATTGACTATTTGTTTAAGCTTTTCCACACCATCTTGAGACAAGCTACAATCATTCAGCCAAACTGCGTGCAATGAACGATTCTGTTTGAACATTTCGATAAGATCATTAACACATGCATCAGTTATTAATTTGTTAGAAGAAAGATCTAACCATTGAAGAGTTTCATTATAACAAGTAATTGCGCTGGTCAATAGTCGAACACCACGATTACCAATTCGATTAAAACCTAATCCCAATAGTGTTATTGTTTTGTTTGTTTTGAGCATTTCGGCTAAATATTCAGCACCGACATCGGTAATACCATTCCAATGAAGTTCAAGTAATTCAAGTGTGAAATTATTAATACTAAGTACTTGTGCTAGAGCATGTGCACCCATATCAGAAATGCGATTATTAGAAAGTTGTAGGTCCACTAGAGTAGTATTACCATATAAACCATTAGCTAAAATTGTAGCACCTTTGGCAGAAATATCATTATTTTCTAATCGAAGTTTGCTACATCGTTTATCAATAATCACGTTTTTACATATAATTTCCATATCTTGATCGTTTAGTAGTTGTCGATCTAAATTAATTTCTGAATCAGATACAAATGGTGTAATCAGTGCTTCAACTCTTCCGTCGTGATGTGGAAGTATTGCTAAATGAAAAATCAAATAGTTTTTATAATAAATATTTGAAGAACATTTCTACTCATTTCTTTATTGAAAGGTCAGTCACTTCTCTTTATATACAAATGTGTTTATCTAGTTAGGTCTACTCGAAATTGACAATTATCATTTTTCCATGTAGTTAAATTAAGTCATCAAATAATAGGACTGTATACTACTGAAGGAGAATATTCGACCTCTCAGCTGCTTTGCAATATAGGATGCTACTCGAAGACAGTTTTGTTAGTCAGATATCTTTTGTAAAACTAATACTAGATATAGCTCTGGACAGAACGTGAATCTAGCTCAGAGTTTTTTCGTTCAGTTACTTAAGTTCCTCGCACACACTGAAAAAATATATACTTGTCAAGAGTATCAGTGTATGTCATAACGTAGTTCATTGGCAAAATGCCGATTCGGAGTTTTTCGAATTGGCAACGCTAATTAAATTCATTTTTATCACACATCCTTGAGGGGAAACTGAGGATGAAAATTTAATAGAAAAATATATTGCAGATCCAATTTAAAACACACATAACTCAACTCAGATTTTGTGCTAATTCAGTCGATCGAGGATTATTTTATTCGAAAGCAGTCGAATAACAGTGAAGACAAAGCTCGAATTAAATCGCAAGAATAGTAAGCTCAAGATACTATTCAGTAGCCCTCATTTTTATAACTTGACAGATAGATCATTTTCTGGTACTTGAAAACTTCTATCAAATAGGAAGAGAAGAAATATGGAAGGCAATTTCGTTGATGAAATACTCATACAGCAACTGTAATGTATATAGGTAATACAGATTCAAAATGTAAGTAATGGAAATTTTGTATTCGATCTAGTAAAATCACAATACTATTTTAAATTAAATTATTCTATTATGAGAATGTAGCCTTAGCAAACGTCTATCAGAATACCTTTAAATTACTTTTCACATCTATTAATTTTCTTTCAAATGAATGTTCATAGTGTTGACTAATATAAATGGCTATCGATCAATTTCGTATGCAATGAAGGCAGACTCAGTTTACACCTATAATCTAATCGGAATGCATCGAAAATAATCAAAAGCTCATGATCTTTCATTCTGTATATGATTCAATTAGATTGGTCCTGTGAATCAAAACAGGATAAAAATGTGTTTTTATGCGCTTCGGTCATTTTTTTTCGATAACATATTCAATTCGCTTACTTTGTATAACACATCTTTTTCTAGCCAATAAGTGTATTTGGATTCCATGTTCATTGCATTTTTGTTCAACATACATGATTTCTTTTTTTCGAGATTGACTTTCTTTTTGTAATTGATTTATTTCTGTTTGGCGTTTATTAAACTGAATCATTTGTTGATTAAATTGTTCTTTTAATTGTTGACTTTCATCTTGAAATGTATTAAACTGAATCATTTGTTGATTAACTTGTTCTTTTAATTGTGAAATTTCGTTTTGACATTGTTCATCTAATTGTTGATTTGCATTTTGATTTTGATGTTCTTGTTTTTGATATTTTTCATTTAATTGTTGATATTTTTTTGATAAGTCATCAATTGATTGTTCCAGTTGATTTAATCGATGAAATTCAGTTTGAAATCCATCAGAAGGAATATTTATTTGATGATATGATTGTTTAAGTTGTTCGATTTCGTTTTTTAATTCAATTGGTTGAATATATTGTGCATTAGATTGTTCTCGGATTTCTTGAATATCTTTTTCTAATGCTGCACAACGACGAGTTTGTTGAGATAATAATTCTAAAAATATTGTATATCCTTTTTGTAATTTTTCAGTTCGATCTTCATATAACTTCACTTGTGTTTTTAATTGTTCAATTTCATGTTGTTGTTCATCATAAGCTCTTCTATATTGAAAAACCTCAGTTAAAATAGGTCTTAATAATTGAAAAATACACTGTTTCATATGATTATAACGTTCTTCATATGGTCCAGTCCATGGACATTTCAAATCAGAAGCGTCACATAAAACGATTCTTTTTAGACATTTATTGGGGATATGTTCTTCTAAATGAACTCGACGATTATTGATTTGTTGACATTTTGTGCATTTTACTTGAAGATCATCAAGCATATCAAGAAGAATTTTTTCTTTAATGGGAACTAAATCTTCAATAAATGATGATTGTCGAATAAGACGTTTAGAATCATTGGGAGATGCTTTTTGAATAATGCATATACGACAAAATCGACCACCATCTCTTGTTATTACTGGATCAATAAATGGTTTCGAACATATGCGACATTTGAGCAAACGATCAATTGAGTCTTCATCTATATACTCAAAAGTCAATTCGGTTGTCATTTTTAATTATCTAAGTAACAAATAGAATATTCTGAAAACAATCAATGCAAATATATTAAAATTTAGTCCTTTATATAACAAATGACGATAAGCATATGAATTCAACTCTTTTTCTATTTACAAGAGATTATTTATCCCAGTTAGTCACCTTGGGTTTTGCCCTTTTTCATCATGTGACAATAAAATGTTTCATAAAAAGATAAGCTGATATGGATACTTGTCTTGAGATAACAAAAAAATGTCTCTATCAAATTTGGTCCCAAAAAATAATGATAATCGAGGAAGTATCATGAAATATTAGGAATAAACTATGTAACAAATGATTCGTCTTTATTTGTAAAGGAAGAAGATAGACATCGCACGTTAAAATGATAGAGTGAAACATAATTGTAAAACATATTGTTCGAATCAATCTGTAATAATTAATATTTAGAATATCTTGTATATTTATCTTCTGAATATGTTATGTTGAAAACAATCATTTTTGACTTTGTACTTACGAATAATTATTCTCAACAATTGAATAATAAACGACAATATTTCATTATTCTTACGAAAGTTATCTAACTGTTTTCAAATTTTGTATTATATCATATTTATTTATCTATTCGTTCTTCGATTTTGTGTGTTAGTTAATCATACCGTCTTATCATTATTTTTTTGAAACAATAATGATATCTAATATATAGGAATTATATAGAAAGGTTGAACAATAGTTTTCTTCTAGACGAATTACAAGGATAGGAAAAAACCTCTTGAATATGAACACAAAGTTTCACTAATTTCTAAACCCCACAAATTCATCTTATTAGTGATTCTATTTAAATTAACTCAAAATTAATCAATAGAAGTAACTTAAATACTTGGATGTCATAACATTCATCTTATGATTTTATTTGAATCAAAAAAATAAAGATGGAAATATTCGAATATTTATAATAATAATAAAAAATGAAAGTTTTACAAAGTTGTATTCACTTCTAAATTTTACTTATTCATTAATTCATTAATTTGTGTTTCTAAAATTTTAATTAGATTTTTTAATTGATCATGTTCATTAAATATTTCTTCTAATGCAGGTCTTAATGGTTCAAATTTACATTCTTTTAAATGTTGGTCAAGATCTTCACGTGTACCAATCCATGGACATTTTATATCAGCAGCTTCACATAAAGTACTTGCTTTTAGACATTCTTTATTTTTATGTTCATTGAATCGACCACGAGGAATATTAGATATGCCACATTTTCCACATCGAACAAGAAGTGAATCAAGCATTTCTAGTACTAGTGCTTCAGTAACAGGAGTCAAGCTTTGTATTTTGGATAATTGATTTTCATTATCTGTATTTGTTCTACTAGATTCATCAGGATTATCTCGACGTATTATTTGAGAAATGCATGATCGACAAAATCGTTCTCCATTTTGTGTTGAAACAGGATCAACAAATGGTTTGGAACATAATTTGCATTTTAATAACTGATGAATGGAGGATTCATCCATATATATATACGTATCATTCGAAAACATTGCTAGTCAATTGTTTTCTTTGATAATAGAAATAGTAATAAAAAAAACTGTTTGAAACGAATGCTGTAATTTTGTTAGATGAAATTCACTATTTATAAACTGTAAACGTAAAATAGCACGTGTTTGCTTCCTTATCTTTCAAAGGGTATCTTGAATATTTGTTCGAAATTGAAGCTTTTTCATAGACAATGATGTCATCATATTTGAAGGACTTTGAAATAAAAATGTTGGACTTTTCCATATAAAAGAAAAATGAATAATCTTTTTTTGTCATTGTTCTATTATCTAAAAGAAAAAGTAATTTGAATTGATAAAACAAGAGTCGGGATATTTCTTGCTTTTATTGATATTATGAATGTAAACGAAAAGGATTGAAAGTTAGTACCTGTACAAACTGTAGACAATACAGACATCTCTCGTTGTCTTAATTTCAATGGTAGAAGATAGCGATAGCTACCTTGATATTTATTTGTAAAGCATCGTGTATAATTAAAAATTAAAGTAATCATGGATGTCCGTAGTTTTCACAGGTACTCATTGCAAATAACTATTTGATTAAATTATTAATTTACTTTAACTAATGAGATAAAATATAATGGAGAATTTGATCTGTTATATTGGATTTGAGTTTTAAAGTTAAATTTGTGATAAATATTCGATTTCTACTATTTTTGAACATGAAATGTAAATTTGTTAGAATACGAAAAAATATTCAATGACAATCATTTGACTAGAATTAAAAAATTAAATTCAAATCTACATTTTTCCTTCTATTAGGCGTATGCCTTTTCCATCTAATAAAATAGATAATCGATGAATTCTAATTCGTGATGATATATAATCAAGCTAAATTTATTTTGCAAATTTTCGATATTGTTCAATACTTTGTTATGCAACTCTAATAAAACGATATATAGAAACATTGGTTATCCCAACTTTAGTCGAACATAAAAATGTCGACAGCAGACGTCAGCATATTTTTTTTTATTGAATGTAAAAAGTTGTAGATAAATCAATTGATCAATATGAATTAATTTTCTTGCTATATCATTTCTTTTATCACAACAACAGACAAACTAGTAAGGGCGAGGTACAGTGGACAGCCAGGCGACAAAATCGATTTTCGATATTTGAGCCTATATCATAGCTAGCATTGAAGCTACTATGTTGCTGCAGTTAAGTCAGAGATGGGCAAGTCAAGTCATTTTTTGACTTGAGAATTTTTCTTTTAACTCTTGATTTGACTCGACTCGACTTGACTTGTGACTTGGCCTTCAAAGGCAAGTCACAAGCCAAGTAAAAAAAATGGACATATTNAAATGTTCCTTTTCTCAAACACTCGGAGGGTACATAAATTTTTCTTTTCTGTTATGTCAAGTAGAGGTGCTGCATTTGATAAAATCAAGTATGAAATACGAAAGTTTTTTTTCTTCGTTTCTATGAAGAATTACTAGAACAAGATAGAATTAGGCGACAATATGTTGTTTTTCTATCCTCATTTAATTATTGTAGTTCTGTGACGCAATAGTTTTTTTCTTATTTCTTATGTGGCGTGTAAAGTTAATTTGATAGTCGAATACGAAAAGAAACCGTTCTAGGTATCTTTTATGCGCTAGACTCGACTTTCTGTATGCTGCGATTCATGTAAAAGTTTTTCTTTGAGTTGATAACAAAACATGTGTTCAAGCTTATTAAATAACTAACTGATTTATTTTTGGTCATAAGAGAGTTATGTGTTTGCTTTTTATGCTATAAGATAATGATATTGTAAAAGTGTGCAGACTCTTAGACTAATTTCTCATTTATTTTCTAAGAACCTGATGCAGAACGATAATATTCTTGAAACTGTCTTTGATTAAATGATTTGTGAACATTCTGTATGTGAAATTTTCAATTTTCCTTATTGTATTTCGTTGCTTTAAATATAACCCAATTCTACACTGAAAAAAATTGAGTTTCGAGAATTGAAACAAAGCCGATGCCCCTTTTAAGGTTTTTTACATTAGTATGAAATTCCTGTAGATCTTATCGCGCATTTTGAGTCGGCTCTTCTCTTCGACTCTAATATAGTTTGTATCAGAACGAAACTCTTATAGGATGTACAAAGTGTCATACATGCTAAACTGGGAGGTGAATTCGACTCAAGTTTTAACTATGTCGAGAGTGATGTGTGCGCGTTTGAAAGATGAAACTTAAGATAAATTCACCTGCTAAGTTTGATATATACGACACCCTACATACCGTATGTAAATCTCGTTCTGCTACAAACTCTTTTAGAGTTCTAAAGGAGTATCCAGAAAACCCTCTTAAAGGCTTCACGGTTATTTTAACTCTCCAAACTATTTGAAGGTTTTCTAGCACGCATGAAATGGTTTTCAAGTTCTGTATCGCACAATTCTTTTATTGTAATATTACCTGTAATTACAGTGTAGTCGTCAGGAAAAAAAGTATCTTTCAAATATTTGTTTTAAATAAATGTGAAATTCATCTTATGATTGTTGACAACTTCATGGAACTAAATTCTTAATTAGAAACTTAGCTAAACAGTAGTTTCTGTTTGAATAAGATTTCAGTATAATGATGTCATAATATGAAGATCAGTTTAGGAAAAAATAAGAGAATTTGTATTTACATTTAGATCTATATCATAATTCGCAGCAATCTTACGTATCGCAAAACTGATTAGCTTGGTCTAAAGCTTCTCGTTATAAATAAATAATTATATCTCTTCTTGATAATTAATTCTATGCTGATTAAAACTAAATTACGAAATTGTAAAAAGATTTGTTAATTAATATTTATTTATCAATTCAGTATAAGAAATGGTTCGGAGAACTGCAATCTCCTTCGTCAATTCATTTACTTTTACTTTTATATAAAAATTTTGAATCTTTTACTAATGACAAACCCGTATATTTACGTTTTTATTTTTTTTTCTAATAGTAGCATGGAAGATGAAAATGCGTAGATTTCATCGTTCAATCCTATCATCATGTCATTCCGTTGTACTATTAGAAAAAAAAAGAAAAGAAAAAGAACAATAGGCATATATTTGTAAGTAGTAATAGATATCAAATTTTAGGTAACTGCAAAAGTAAGTGAACTGACGAAGGAGATAACAATTCTTCAAAATGCTTGCTTATATTTATTAACAACTCATCTTAACCAAGATATAATTTATAAAAAGAAAATAAATGATTATTTGAAAATAATTTAGGATAACCTTCTTTTACATTATTAAGAAGCTTCTCATTTTATGTAAAAAAAAATGAATTTTCACTTTTTGTATAACCTAAAATAATTGCTCGTCGTCATAGTTTCGATTTTATTAATTAGCTAATGTTTTTCCTTAAAGTGAGCGCTACTAAAGACTACCATTGTCAAATAAAAAGAAACTTATTCTCAATTTTCAGCCGTCATGAGAAAGAAAAAGAAATATGAGTCTCTCTATGGGAAATTCTCAAGTAAGTAAAAATTTTAGAAAAAGAGAACTTGTATGAAAAACATCTTGTGAATATTGGATTAGTTTTTTTAAATTTCAAATCATAGAAAACAAAAACAAGAATTCATTTTGTAGATTTTTATTTCAATATTTCGTGCATGCAGACATCAGAAGTATCCCGTCTTTGGAATAAAAATCAAATCATTGAGACTATCACGAGAGGACTAAATCAAATAAAAACTAATGTTTTCTGGAAATCAAGAAAGTAAGTCATTCTTGCGAAATGAAATATTTTATTTTAGAAATTTTATCTTTAAAGAACTATACAAGGGTTGGGTACACAAATGTTTTTATTATCAATTTTATCTATTGCACTTCTGATACTTTTGTTTTTCTATTCATTTGATATTTCTTCAAAAACATCGGCATTCATTGATTTTCATAAACAAGATGTAATAAAAATAAATTTGGAATCAAGTTCAATTCCGAATGTTGTAGAAGCATACATTTTTTCCAAATTTGAATATTTAAACCAAACTCGAAAAGTACATTTATTCTTACATCTTTTTTAGTATTTTTATTTTATCATTTTAGCCTTCTGAAGGTTTTATTGCTTTCTTAGTAGCAAGTTTCACTGGTGATGCTCGTCTAGCTTATAATCCTTATCCAAGACTCCGCGAAAAAATTAGTCAAATTGAGGAACGTCTGGGTGATAATAGTTCAACAGATTTAATTATCTTTCATACAGGCTATCCTTTTCGAGGAGATCTATTACCAATAATTCAAGTTACTCGACGTCAAGTTGAGTTTGTTAATGTTGATCATATATTTTATAAATTCCCACCAGGTTTCGATCCTCATATAAGAGATCCAACTTGGTCACAGAGAGGTAAATGGAATTATCATCATATGTGTAATTTTTGGTTTAAACAAGTATTTGAATTAAAAATAATACAACGATATCGATATATGATGCGGCTTGATGATGATTCACAACTTTTAGGTAATTTCAAAGTTTCTTTTGGGTAACATGAAGTCGAAGTTTAAAAAATAGAAATGATTTCATCATCAGATTTCTAAGATTCAATTATATGGCCCATAACATTTGTACAAAAAGAAATTAAAAAAAAATAAAGTACCCAGAAAGAAAAAAAACATTAAAAATGAGAAAACTCCTAGGACAGGCTAATCACCAAACATGTGACTCGTTCTGTTGAAATTGAAAGAAAATTGAAAGGAATATAAATTTCACAATATATCAAATGAAATGAGATTTTGCAAGATAAGTCAAAACTATTCATCATCGCTCTATTTGTAACGAACTTTTTTAATGCAACGATCGCTCGCACTTGAAAAATCATTATTTGAATGAAAGATTTTTTAAAACTCTTATGGCAATGATGAACACATTTTTTAATGAAAAAATTAAAAAATAAACGTTTTTTTAGGTAAATGGCCTAATGTATTCGAAATAATGGCGAAACATCAAGCTCTTTATATGGCTAATCAAAGAGAAGTAGACTTTGAATATATACTTCCAGGTATTACACTTGTAAGAAATCTCACTATTGTTTATATCAATAAAAATAAAATAACTGTTCGAAATCCTGCTATGTTCGCTAATATTTTCAATCGTACAATGGAAATACCTAATTATTGGAATAACTTTGAAATCATTGATTTATCATTTATGCGACGAAAAGAAGTTGTTGATTTTATTCAATTTGTTGATGAATCTAGAGGTGTGTTTCTTTATCGATGGGGTGATGCTCCTCTTCGTTATATAACTTTAGCTCTTTTTGTTAATTCAACTCAAATATTGCATCGAAAACAACTAGGACTTGATTATTGTCATCCGTGTTAACTAATGGTCATTGTTCTTTTTTTTCTATATAAAATAAAATAGCCAAATATGATAAATAAATTGTAGAAGAAAGTGAATATTTTTCAAAATTTCTTATATATTCGGCCATATGATGTCCAGAAGTTGTTTAGGATATTGATATTGATATTGATATATAAGAGTATGGTATTGAATAAGAAGTAATTGGATTGAAATAAAATAGAATATGACTACTGTCTTGAATAGTCATTAGGTTAGTATCCATAGTTAAGTAAAATCAAACAAAGAGAAAAAGTAATATGTTTTGTGAGGTGCCCGTCATAGGGGATAAAAAAGTTTTTAAGCTTAAATTCCGTTCACATATAGAAGACTCATATGCATACTTCAGAAAAATCTTCAGATGATGTAGGCCTTAGCTCCGATTTGGTTGAAATATCGACTCTTGATACAATTTTTGTGCAACATCTCACTTTCTCGGTAAAATCACGCTGTTGATTTTCGTCTTGAAATTTTATTTATATGATGATCTCGATTACACTACCTTGATTACAAAGTTTTAGAATTTGTAGGCTTATTTTTATGGAGACTGGTATATTAGTGCTAAGATTTTTTGTTAGTGGAAATTGTATTTGGCATGGATATTTTAGAAAACTCATATTTCTAAAATAATTTATTAGAAAATTCTGAAACCTGATAAGCAAGATTAATATAGACAAAGTTTCAGATCAAAATTCGATATTTCAACCAATCATGGCTTATGCCTACATTGTCTTAATCTTTTTGAAATAGGTTTACGTACAATTTAATTATGAACGAATTTTTGAGCTCTGAAACCTTTTATTATCTGGAAAACTTCTCTGATTTAAAAGACTCGATTATATTTTGAAAAATAAACATTATTCTTGATCAGTCAGCATATTGACACAATTGATTTTTTGAGAAAGACAATTTTTTGAAGTATTACACATAATATGAAATTGAATCATAGCACGAGAATGAACTACGAGAAAATGTCATTTTATATTAGCTGAATGTGAATCAAAACTTAAATAAACAAGGCGATAATGTTTCATATAACTAAATTTAGTCTGCTTTGCAACGATTTTTTTGGAAAAGTTTGATAAACGTTCTTTTTTTGCTATTATTCTTTAACAGTTGAAAAAAACAATCAACATTATTGTTGTTTAAATTACGGCTAAACCTGTATGTCACGGGGTTTTCAAGCATGTCAACTGTTGTGTGTTCATCCATTAGAAATAAACAGTTACATTTTGTATTACTTTTTTCTTTACATGCCATATATTTAAATGAAATGTTAAGAAAAAGAAAGGAAAAATAAAATGCTCTTAATGTCGTTACAACAAAATGTCCGCCAGAATCAACATGCAGTAATTAATATCACATAATACGCTTAAAGTCTGGCGGTTCCGAAAAAAATAAAAATGACAGCCGAGACGGAACCGGAAATGCAATCGCGTAATAAAAGAACACGGACCCGAAACCGGAATCAATAAAACCGAAAATTTTTAACTGATAACTGGGGGCGGAACTGTTATAGTGTTGCGTAATCTAAAGTCGGAGAGATCAATCTACGGTTGAATCAGCGATAAGCTATGCTTATTTCGCACAATGAGATGGACAAAAAGAATTTTAAAAAAGCTAGAAGGTTGATAACGGTTTCTGAAAAAATCGAGTGTTGTCAACAAATCATTTTTCTGCAACTCAAATATATATGTGTGAAGAAAATATAGTAAGTGTGGGTGTGGATCTTCTCTAGATCCACACTTACATCCTCAATTAGTTCAGGTCGTAATAAGTTCATAACTATATAAAATATTCCCATTTCAATTTTACTAATGTACCAATATTCAGTACGACTTAAATAGTTAAGTTCTTAAGTCAATAGTTAGTTAACATTAAACATTAATATCATAGTATCATGCATATTTTATGTTTAAGTAAAAACTTTTGTGGCTAAAATAGGAAGCTTTTAATGATGTCAATTAACATACTATTCATAGTAATCTAGTGAAAAGATGAGAACTTTAAATTGAGTACAAAATGTGTATTTCATGGATACAGCTTTTTATAGGGTAGTCTGGTATAGAATAAAATAATAATACATATATATATGGTGCTGTGACAAGAGAGGCCTCAATATGATGATAATACTCAAGAGCAAATATGTTAGCCATTCTGCCATTCTCTTTTCCCTGCCCCCTTATCCGGCTATTTCTTTATGCCATAACCCTATATAGTTGTTATACATGAAAACAGAAAGACGAATTGTGAGTAGTTAAAATTAAATACTCAGTTATAAATCAAAACAAACTAAAATATAAAACTCATTTATCATAACAATTACGAGACAGATATTTTAAAATTCTTTTTGTTAGTCTTGTACTGTACTAATTTATATTTGTTCTCTCCCATATTCTATCTACGTCTTCGGGATGATAACGTCAGATCTTATCACCTGTTGTATTCATGCATCTTTTATTTTTTGTTTCATTTTTATTTGTAAAGATGCTTGTAATGAAACAAGTAATATGTAACTCCTTTTTTTTCCCTTTGAAACATGCTTATCTAACATAACTCATATCTAAATTGCTCTGTTATTAATTGGTGCCATAACTTCTTTATCCATCAATGCATCTTTTGGTTTGTCAAATGTGAATAAAAACATTAGTAATATTGTATCACTCAATATTGAAAATGCAAATACGGGTCAAATTATTCCATCTACAATGGATGGAGTTATTCTTGAGACAAATATTAAGAGGGATGATGATGGTGGTATATACACGGAACTTGTCTACAATCGTGCTTTTCAAGGTTAATAATTCTCTTATCATATATGCTTATAACGCAGCATAATATTTCTGTAATATATAGAAAAGGGTCGATCACTTGATGGGTGGTCGTTATTTGGACAAGGATCAATGGCTCTTAGCACTACTCAACCGTTGTCCAGTGCTTTGCCTGTAAAATTGAGATATTCACTCATTAATAATTTCACAGTAGTATCTGGTTTCAGAAATGGTGGTTTCTATGGGATGAATATTCAAGCTGGAAATTATACAGCAAGCTTTTTCTATCGATCATAGTCTGGAGCATATGTAGCAGATGGTAAGCTAAATATTAGTTTTAGTGATTCATCTGGTCAAATTACTTATGGCATATCGACAATCGATGTATTTAAAGCTCCTATAGACATTTAGTTCTATTTTTCTTTTACTATTCCCGTTTATGGTGCTGCTCCAACCACCAAAAACTGTTTGTTCATTGAATTTCCTTCAGACTCTAAAGGTAATTTTGAATTTAATCTTGTCTCGTGTTTTTCACCGACTTAAAAAAATCGACCTAATGATGCACGTATCGAGATTGCACAAGCTTTGGCTGATTTAAAACCCAGTTATGTTCGACTTCCAGGTGGTAATGATCTTGCAGGACCTATTATTCCTGAACGTTTTATTTGGAATAATACTATTGGTCTTCTTGTGAATCGACCAGGTCGAAGAGGAATATGGACAGGTTATAATACTGAAGGTTTTGGACTCATTGAATTGTTAACCTTTGCTGAAGATATCGGTGCAACTCCTATTCTAGTAGTTTATGCTGGATATTCATTCGATGGAAAAGCGGTACCACACAATCAACTTCAACCTTATATTGATGAAGTTGTTAAAGAATTAGACGTTTTGACGACATCCGTCAGTGATAATAGAATGGGTGCCTTACGCGCACATTTAGGTCCTAGTCAACCATTCAATATCAAATATGTTGAAAGCGATAATGAAGATTGGATTGGTCCTACTCCAAGCGCATATAGCTATCGTTGGCCAGCTTTTTATAATGTTCTTTCTCAAAAATATCCTAATATTACTTTTATTGCAACGACAACTAAATCTATTAACTCTCCACCGGCTGTCGATGATCATGATTATCAAGTTCCATTATTTTTTATACAAAATTTTTGTCGCTATAAGAAAGTTCCTCGATCAGATCCAACAATAATTACTTGTAGGAGAATTTTCAGTTATCAATGATGATGATTCAAAAATCAATGATGCATTTACAACTGGTCGACTCGATTTTCCGTCAATTAAATCTTCTGTTGCTGAATTAATCTATCGAATTGGATTTGAACGGAATTCAGATATTATCATTGGAGGTTGTTATGTTCTAGTTCTTCAAAATATTGACAATACACAATGGACACCAAATTTAATTGTCTTTAATGCTGATTTAATTGTTAAATCAACTTCATATCTTGCTCAAAAAATGTTTGGTGAAAATCTGGGTAATATTATGCTCAATTTCACTGCTACTAATAGTACTATCACTCATCAATTTGTACAAAAAAGAGAAGAAGGAGTCAGTAAATTTGGTAATCTTTATTTTGTTGCAACAAAATGTACCAATGATAATACACTAATCGTTAAACTTGCAAGTGTAGATTCAAATGATATTGCTATTAAAATTCAAACACAAGGTTCAACAACATCTTCTGTAGGTCTTGCTTACATTTTAACAGCTGGTCCAGATATCGTTCCTTCAACAATTTATAATAATTGGTATTGTTAATTCAAATGCTGCATCAATTGCTACAGTGCCTATTGCGGCAACAAATGGTACATTATCAATCACAGTTCCTTTCTGGAGTATTATCGTTGTTACTCTTACTCTTTGATTTCATTTTCTAACATTGTCTTTAAATGCAAGAATGATTTTTGTCTAATGAAAATATTAATATTTAGTATTAAGTAATATCTATATAATTAAATAGTCTTAAAAATAAAATAAAGTATAATGCTCAACAATTTCTGTAACATATGAATGAGACATGAAATTTTAGCCCAAAACCTATGCGTGAATGTGAAAAATGATCGAACCAAGAGTCAATCGAGAAATTTATAACAAATGATTCAACTGAGACGAATAATCTAAACTAATATAAAAGAATGATGACGGAAGACATGCTCATTAGTCAATTGCAAATTATTCCAAAGGACCGAAGCATATGAACTAGAATTTCTTTTCAAAACTAAAATTTTTAGATTCAGAGGCTTTTATGAGATTATATCGAAATGAATGCTGACAAAAAAGTGAAACTAAGAAAAAAAGCATTTTGAGAATATGATGTGGAACATGAGTATACAAGTAAATGTCCTCGACAATGATCGAAGTCCACTTTATTTTTACATCGTACTACCACAAAAAGTATAATGATTACAGATAATATAAGCACTGATGTTCTTTTTGTTTTCATACACATGAAAGCTTTTGTTATTTTATTATAAAGTTCTCGACTATACTTTGCATCGACCAATTTTCGTAGATCCAAAATATTCACTTTTTTATTTCTATGTTATAAATGTTTGCCTATAGATAAGAAACTTCTTTAAAAAAAGACTATTTTCATTTACATTGACACAGTTGTTTATAATTCGCATTCTTTATCAATACGTACTTTTATGATAGATTAAGTGCAAAGTTCTTTTGTATTGCATAAATATTTTCAAAACATTACCTAATGAGAATAGTACAGTTCATTAGAAAACAATGAATTAATAAACTCAATTTGATGATGAAAGTCATAGGTATACCAAGCTTAAAGAGATAACGAAACTATCGCTCACTACACTCTAAAAAGAAATTTATGCTACAGAATCTTTTTTTTGATTTCTTACCAAAGCTATAAAAAATGTTCCCATAAAAAAGTGTAAAGGTTTCTTCACTTCACAGATCTTTTTAAATTTTTTATGCTTTTCGTACGGAACGTTTTTATCTTTGGTTACAAAAGCAAAAAAGAAAAAGGTTTCGTTAGAGAACTTTTTTTAGAGCATAGAATTCTCATTGTGTTAAGAAAAAATTTCTCGTACTCTTCATCGACCTATCAATCAAATAAATATTTTGCTCGAAATTGGTCGTTATGTCTTATCTGAATAAATCCTTGGGTTTAAAAAATCATGCATGTTGCTTTTCCGTATGAGAAGCAACGGTCTGACAATTATGTAAATAATTTTCTGTCAGTAAAAATTTCCGTTTAGTTGATGTAAAATTACTTTTTCCTGTAAATATTTTTCAACATATTTTGATTGCTTGTCACATTCAAAATTGATCAAACATCGTACCCTCTCATTGATAAAAGTTTTCTTGCATAGTTAAATAATGTCAATGATGTCACTAATGCAACTATTCATTCATATTTCCGTGCAAGGTCTTTGATTAAAAAGAAAAAGAAAAACACGAGATGTTTTTCGGTGCCACTTCTAAATTAATAATAGAATGTTTTTTTTCCTGGAACAGACAAATCAACCAATATTCCTTTTTCCTGTCATAATCTTTGGAGAATACATGTCAAACTGAAGATTAAGAAGAAAACAATTTTTAGACAAGTTCTATTCAAATAACGATCTATATACATCCAAATGAAATTTAAATAAGAAAATAAGCAAAGTATGCATAACCATATAGAATAGGCTATATTAATGAATATTATTGAAAAATAAATAGAAAGAAAAAGTGAGTTATATCGTAGAATGTTTGAATTATTTATGTTTTTTATCGATATTTATACCGGGATTTATATATGATTGTTTTTGTTTTGATTATCCTTTTTTCTTATCTTTTATTGTATTGATTTTGATTTGGCTTATGTTGAAAAAGACAATCATATGCTTATTTTTCTCTCGAAATTAATCTTTACAAACATTGAAATCATGATTTTTTTCTTTCTATTCAATTTTGCAAATAACTATTCTATTGAATATAAAAACTTGTCATAATTCATTAGTTATTTTTTTCATTTACAGTCAATACGGTTTTTTTCTTTATTCGATCTCAATTAACGGTACAGTAATAGGAAAAGTAGGTGTAGTTACAAAAAGCAGCAAATCAATTCAGCTATGTGCATGATATAATATTTGATTTGTCAAATACATTTCATACTAAGAATCAATTCAATTGTTGAATATCAGAAAATAAAAATTCAAGCATAATCTGATGTAACAATAGCTGAATATATAGACGTTATATGTAATAAATCTCTAACTGTGACATTGATTTGAAGTTTTGTTTAGTAATTTGGTCAATAAATAAAATTTACCAAATGATATTGTGCAGGATTCGAATTTGAGTACACTTCATATAGCAGATTATGAAAATCGTTGTGTAATGTAATATTTGATTAATATTACATCAAATATTATTTTCAATAGAAATAATAAGCAAGAATAAGTAAGAAATAATTAATGTATTCAAATGCTCTTTATTTTGATCAAATAATTGAAAGTCTTATGATTGTATATGACCGTACGAATAATATTGTTCGTTAGCTAACAGATGCTATTCCATGAACTACTTACGACTGATGGTAGCAAAATGATATATGTGTAGAGACTGACAGTTTTGGTTAGTAAAAAGCGCAAACAATACATTCCAATTTTAGTTCCTAATAGATATTTTTTGAATCGATGATCAAACAATAATATACTTAATAGCTGACATAATTAATTTGTATCTAGGAATTTTCAAGTTATATATCATTTTTTGAGGTTTGCTAATATGTATTAATTAATGAAAAAGCGACTTCTTTGATGCATCAAACAGCAAAAAGAAAATCATGATTATTAATCCTCTTTATAATCTGTTCGTTGATAAAGAATCATATTGAGGTGACACATTCTGCAAATATTGGAGGTATTAAGTTACACATAAAAGAAAATTGTGGTATTATATCTCGTCCTTAGCGGCATTAAGAGAAGTTAATATATTTATAACGCTCATTTTTTGTGCCGATCGCATTATCATTGATTTTTTCTTCTTTTAACCGAATAGAATGGAGACTAGTAACTCTTTGTTTGATTGTCTTCTTTTGCTAATCTTGATACACACATTAAGTAATAAAAAACCTCAATAAAGTTGAGTATGAAAAATGCCATATTTTGATAATATTTTATCCAAAAGGAAACAAGTTTTTCGATGATCAAGAAAATAACCTTTTTTCAGTAAAAACTTCGCTTCTAATAGGGACATGGCTCAAATTCATAATGATTATGAAAATGCACATCGAACTATCTAATCAAGCCTTTTCTTTAAAGAGTGATTTTTTTAATGATAACTGATTTTTTCAGAAACTTTAATCAAACTTCTAGCTATTTTTAACTTCTATTTTCATCGAATTGTAAAAAATACGCATAGTTTATTGCTGATAAAATTGTAGATTTATCTCTCCGAGTTTAAATAGTGTAACTCTGGAACAGATACCCCTTTATCAGTAAAAATTTTTCGATTTCACAGGTTCTGAGTAAGAGAAATTGAAAAAATTCTGACACCGGCTCAATTCTTGGTTTCATTTTTCTTCGAAACCATCGAACTCTAAACATGTGATAGTATACCGACGTCACTTCAATGGCAATTACGGATTATTTTTAATTCTATAAGAAATGTATACATTACTGATCGAGACAATCATAGAATACAAATTTTATTTGTAGGACAGTTAACTGGTCAAATAATTGCTAGTATTTGAGATATTGTTAATAATAATTTAACGTTATTAAATATTTGTATTTTTCACATCCAAGTAACTTTTTCTTACGCACTTTTTATTCTACCTGCTGTTATGCCATTCTCTCTGGTGTTGTTTTTTCTTTATATATTTTATGTGTGATTCCTCTTTTCTCTTTACATTTTTTTTTCTTATCATATGGAGTCTATTTGAAGTAAAACATAAACGACATATGTCTATGCAAACGAGAAAAAGAATAAAAGAAAAAGAACATGTTTTGTAATTCATTTGAGTGTGTTTAACATCGACAACCTTTGTCCTTGAAGTTTCTTTTTCGATTCGTCACATTAAGTGAAATGTATTTCAAAAATTTTTATACATTCTTATAGTTTTAGAGAACCATTTTAAGACGTACAAATATGTTCTTGATTATAGGTTTCTTATTAATTCTATATACAACATATCGATTATATCAGTATTTATATCCATCACCAGATATTGATCCTAATGGTAAATATGTACTTATTAGTGGATGTGATACAGGTTTTGGTCATAGATTAGCTATTGAACTTGATAAAAAAGGTTTCATTGTTTTTGCTAGTGTTTATAATGAAGACAATCAAGCTTCATTGAGAAACAAACTTTCATCACGCGCCGTTGTCTTTCGTCTTGATATTACTCAACCAACACAAGTTGATGCTGCGTATAAACTAGTTAAAGAAAAAACCAATATATTGCATGCACTTGTTAATAATGCAGGAATTGATCAAGATGGTTTAATTGATTGGGTTACACTTGATTTTATGAGAAATATGATGGAAGTAAATTATTTTGGACATGTTGCTATGACGAAAACATTTTTACCATTACTTATAGCTAAACGAGGTTCACGTGTAGTCAATTTATGTTCAGTAGCTGGTTATTTAGCTGCACCAAGTATGTCATCTTATTGTGCTTCAAAATTTGCTTTCGAATCATTTTCTGATTGTCTACGTCGTGAAATGCATCCCTGGGGATTATATGTAAGCATTGTTGAACCAAGTTATATGCGTACACCTATTATTGAAGGACA